CACGTGACAAGGGGGAAGGTGTGCTGAAAGCTGCGAGGACAGGGTTATTGGACGTGAATCAACACGATTCACTACAAATGGTTCTATTCCGCTGTCGAATATAGATTAAATGACGGTGCAAAGCGTTTAACTTATTAAAATTTTGCCGAAGAAAATTGTAGGAACTGTAATACACAGCAATATTTTTGATAAAGACACATGATTTAAAGTTCCAAAGAAAGTTTTGCAAAAATGTTTGCTCGAAATTTGACAGCTCCCTCAGTCTTTTGGACTAATTTCCTGATTAACCACCCCTAAAATCAATAACATCTAAGACTTAGTCATGCCTGTTATTTTATACCTCAAACCAAATTTGCGTATGAATCTCGGGACGATCGTGAAGAGACTGCAAATTCCACTGCAATTCAACGAAGCAAAAGGCAGCTAAAAGACTAGGTGATAAACCTCGAATTGTGGATTTATGAAGATTTGTGGAAGAACGCGCTGACATCGCCGGTTCCAAGATTGATAAGATAGCTTTTAACCCAATGTGCGAGCGAGCGATACGTCAAGAAAATTTGCGTGTATGGAACACTAGTACTTTATATTAACGCCATTTTTCGGTTATGCCTTGCTTGCCCCTCTGTAAAAAACAGGTCACTGTACATGCAGATTTACAGCTAATTATTACTGCTTACAGCTTGCTACCTAAACTGGCAGTGGTAATTTTGAACTCAGTTTAAATTTGGTATCAGAATGATATGCACACGTTCTTGAATGCTCCGATTTGCCTTCCCTTCTTTGCAGGTTGAGTTGAAGTTGCAGTAATCGTTAACTGCTTGCGGATACTTTGACGGGCAAAACTATTCTGCTTAAACAGAGTGCTCATGCACTGGCTATGACAGTGTTGCTGTGCGATAAGAAAACTGTCGTGAGACAATTTAAAGTCATTAGGCTGAATAGAAATTGGATATCCCCCATTTGGCCAGCCGTTTCGCAGATGCCACGTGTTTCACAAAACTGACACTACTTGGGAAACGGAAATGCGTTCTTTGCATTAACAATCTTGCTCTGATGATTCAGTGTGAATGAGCAAGATGCGCGCGACATTGTGCTGCATGCAGGGAAATTCGTGTAGATTTCTTGTTTCGAATATTCTGCTGATCCTTTCAAGTACAAATCAAACTAAACAACATTTATTAAGTTATCGGGATGAACATCGGTCTCAGAAAGTAGTGTCTTTTTTCCTTGAATACGGAGCGAAACACGCCTGATAGGATATCAAGTCATTCAAATCCCTCACAATATCAGCGCATCGCATCACATTTCATCTACACTTCCATGGCTAGTGGATTATGCAAGCTGATTTATCTTGAGAATGGTATTCTGTTGTGATGCGCTTTACAAACCAGTTAAGATTTTAACTATCGCGGCGTTCGGATGAGGCTTTATCGTCGATTCGCACGGTCAGCAGTCTCTTTTCCACCAGCCTCCTAGACGTCTTGGAAGATAGGGCGGGGCTTAAACCCCATTGTCTGCTCCTGGTTCCTCCCCTGATTACATCTGACTCGTTTAGCCTACACTCCTTTACCCCCGTCTCTGCCCGGCACTCACGTGATCTCCGAAGTCCGTTAGCTGTAGTCGTGTGTCTCGTGGTTGTCATGACCCCACAGTCGTTTACCTAGTCCCACTTTGACGCTAGAGCAGAAGAACAGTGCACTGTGTCCCAGTTTACCAACGTGACGTCCCCCATCCTCCTCTGGTTTTAGCTAGAAATCGAATTCCAACACTGACAGTTCATTCACACTTGCTCATTTCACAGTCGAAGACCACGATTAAGTTTCGATAAACCAATGACACCAGTTTTGTGAGACAATTTTGGAACCACAGAAAATCAGGACAATTTCCTCATTGTTTTGTAACATCACAATAAGTACTGGCAGATAGAGCACACATAAGTATGACTTGTAGACAGCGAAATTTTTCACGATGAAAAAAAACATGGATTTTATGTATTTTGTGGTCGACTCTGAGATGGAAACTCATTTTAAAGGCGGAATTTAAAACCCATCAAGCGCAGGTCTTTGTGCAACACACGCAATTACACTCATTATAAGAAATCCCCCTACCGCATATTTATCACACATCATTATTGAAAATCCCATCTCGTGATTACACCCTAAAGGGCTTGTTGCATTTGGCAGAGACATCAGTCATCAATTACCTACAAGCAATCGTACTCGGCTGTGAATCGATAGCACTTATCGCGGTAGCGTTACCAGCAACTAGGACCCTCCAAACTTGTTAACATTTAGCATTGCACACACGACAGTGGTGTGTTAAGAAAAAAGTACAGAGACTGAACTGTTTTGCCTCGTGCACCTCTTAATTACTTAGTTACAGTAGCACAAGTACCATACAACTCACGGCCCTGTCATTACGTCTTACACCGTGCGTACTCCGCGATTCACCTTGTCAATTACTCACACCTGGTTCTGCTCGTGATAGCTCTCCTGGCTTACGAAGAGTCATCCACTACTACGGATACTCACTTTTGGTTGGTCAATTGTGACTAGTGATTTAGTGGTTGGGTGTGTCCAGTTTCTATACTAGTAGCAGGTGAAATCTGATTGACAAAAGCTAGAGGATGCAGAGTAGCCTTGGCCTTGTGCGTTGCGTATGAGATAAATAATCAGGGGTATCAGCATGTAGAATCCACCTCATTTCCTTCCACGCACGTGAGCAGGCATACATTAGCACCACTCCTAATTAACTCTCAGCTATTCAATCTAATTAAGGCACTGAATTTAAGACTACTATTCCACGGTAAGACTGGGTGTTCATAATCGAGTGCTTCGGTGCACTCATCTCAATTCCGGACTCTAACTGTGGTGATGCCTTATCCACGATGGCTAGAATACGATGTCCTGGCATTGGCCCCTTGGCGACATTTCATCCAACCCCCTTCAAATCGAGATAACCTAACAACGCCTAACTAGGTACTAGTGAGTTTCAATGGCAACACTGTTTAACCACGAATGACTTCAGCATCGTCGAAGCTGATTGATTGGTCTGCTGGATTAGCTTCAACAGACCTTTCCCATCTCTGCAATTTTTCGATTTGTCACTGATACTCAACGCCCACGTTCCTCTCCAGTGGCAACTCCCCAATCGTTTACAAGTGGGAGGCATCGCGCGGAATCCAAGACCCACCCTTTGACAATCGAAGCAGACGCATTGATGTGGGGCAAAAGTGATGTGTGAAAAAAAGACTGCTTTTGCGTAAAGGAATAAGGCGTGCTAGCTTTTCCAAACCAGTAAACATTACCTAGCTTCTGTTCACTTTAGTGAGTGGCCCATGAAATCCACTAAACTTCTCATATGTGAACAGCAGTTATTGGGATCTTTAAAGCCCACATTAACTCACTGCTGGTGTAGTTTGCCCTCTGAAATGAGACTATAACGAGAGAGAAGATCATACTAAGGGCCTTCTAAATTTTTGATTCTTTACATCATACCACTGGCTGAGCAGTTTTATCAACATGTTCAACTACACTGGGCACAATTTTGTCGGTACGGAGAATCGATTAAACCTAGATTGATCAACGTCATATATGAAGCCCCTGTTTCTTAGGACCAAACCAGGAAAGCCAAATGGTGAATTACTATGCACCACAATTTGAAACAAATAGTCGCCGTGGCGTAATTAAATTCCCCGGTCCATAATGATCAATACTTGGGTCATTTAAAGGGTTTATTCGCAATTTGACACTTCTTAAGTAGAAACTGATTGCATTTCTACTGCCAGACGAAGTAATGCTATGCAATGTACTAAATTATGTACTTATAGTTAGGCCATTCGTTCTGCTTATAGTGCTTAAAGTCTACAGAGTTACTTATTGGTGAATCTGAAGTGGCTTAGCTAAGCACCATCATTCAACCCTCCGGTTACCAGCCTGCAACAACCCGGGAGAGGGGCAAAACAGACGAGAGAGGATACGACCTTTTATTAGCATTAAGCCACCCAGTTGTGTGAAAGCGGATGAGTGAGCGGATGTTGACGGTCCCCCACAACGGAATGTTTACAAAAGCTGATTCACAATGATCAAAATTGCGATTGTTCCTCACAGCGTCATTCTGGAATAGACTTCCAGTGCATAAATTAATCTTTCCAGGTCACCTCGCTCACCTGTCTGCGATCAGGCGCAATAAAAGTAATATCTAGAAAACGACAAACCCTTTGAATGATATGAATTATGTTTCAAAAGTTAAATACTTAGACAAAATTAGCAGATATACGAATGCATTTGCACTGGTATCAGTGGAAGTCTTGTTCTCAGGCGATCTCTGTAATTCGGAAATGACCTGACCGAATTTTGTTAAGATGTATTTAACCAATGGCAATTTGAGAATTTGCCAAGGTGTCAGTTCGCTTCCTGAGCCAATCCCCTGTAGCCACCCCGTGTCCCCCCTCTGTGTCCGCTCTTGCGCTCACCTCCTTTCCCCACACTCTTTGTCCGCACTCTTTACACGCCCTCTTCGTGCGCAAAGGAATTCTTGGCTAAAAGCCTTAAAATATGCTAAAGCATGGAACACTCACACGCCCACAATGACGGATTTAGAATGATCAAACTGGGAATTCTTTCCGTTAATAAATGTCGTTCTAAATCATAGTGCCATTATTTATCATTACGTTAATTCTACCAGGATAAGGCCTTCCAATGCCTTCATTCAGACCTCATATTTCAGTGTCATTTTACTCACCTGTCAGCGGTCAGGAAATACAGAAAAACACTATACTAAATCTGAATAACATGAACAATATTTAATCGTTTAAATTCCAGCTCTGCTGTACAAAGCCAACTATCTGGAAAAGAACGATTTTTATATCGAGTAGTGGTATAAATTTGTTTACTGGCTTATATATTTATTAGTGAACTGACTTGACTCAAATTTAACCTTGTTACGATAATTCTGATAGATTCTAATAAAGCACTGACCATTTAACAATTGGGTGGAACATGAAAACCACTAATTTCACGAGTGCCAGCTTCCTGCGCCCACCCCCGAAGCTCGCCATCGTGCCCACCCCCACACCACCGGTGTCCGCCCCTTGTGCCCACACTCTTTTCTCGCGCACGGTGACCACCCCCTTGTCTCCGCTTCCTGTACCCTCCAAGTAAGCCATGAGCACGACGCTGTGGACGTGACCAGATGTTTACAGCCTACACCTGGTCGTAGCACTAACGCCCCGGGAGTGAATACAGGAGACTGGCGGTTTTAATTGTAGTACTTAGGAAGCCATGCAGGCAGTAATCTACATCATCAAAGCCCGTTCCGCACACGGAATTTTATTATTTAGCCTCCGCTGGTCTCCCGCTATAGGCGTCCCCAGGTCAAGCATATGTAAAAAAAGATGTGCTTTAAAATGAAGTAATGTTTGAAATTAAAATTCCTGCTTTCGCTGTCACTTCCCATTTTATCTGTTTTGTGTAATGTATGTAGATTGGCCAATACAAACCCAAGCATGGCCATGCTTCACTACTCAAAAATGGCCATAGGAATTCCTGCAAAAATGTATTTCAGTTGCCAAAAAAGAAATTGTTTTTTTTAATAAAAATACGGTATCGATTCAAATGGTTTGCCAACGATACAACGGCCCGTTAATTGCTGATTATGTGAAACAAAAGTTAAGAGCTTTGCATAAACCCAGGCATGGCTCGAAATCTGACAACGACGCTTGCGTTCTGTCGCCGCCTAAACCTGTCACTAGCGTTTTGATTGGCGCGCTACAGCCAGTGACAGTAGGTTAACCATTGGACATGGCTTGTTCTAACAGGCTAATTGCGAGGGGCTCAGCGTCTGTCACACCCACTCATTTATCTTCCTTGCCACAGGTACGCTGTTAAACGCACACAAATACCATTGGTTTGTACGCGGAGTGAATTACCGTGGCAGCCACTACCTGTGGCCGCCTCGCTCCCTGGTTCTCTGGGTTGTGACGATCTTAACACGGTGGCAAATGCTTAACGCCGTTTGTGATCTTAAACACTTCCGAGTGGCCGATTTCGAAAGCTCGTATTTTAACAAAAGTATTCTGCAAGTGTCCCAAACGACTCATTGACAACATATTGGAAACCTGGTACGACTCGAGGAATGCCGATGATCGATAACCATGATTGCCATTTCCCCCAAAGCTAATACAGCTGCTTCAACTACATGATTTTAGCATTACCATGACGACTGAAACGACGCTCAGTTGGCAGCATAATCCACTCGCTCAGCCATAATGCTTATTTGTTCATTCATGCACGTTTGTGTAAACAGAGGTCACACTCAAAGAAAGTAGTGAAGTGGATTGATTTGATTTTCTAGTAAGCAAACATTTTCTGTCGGTGCATACTTTGCCGGTTTCTCGACTTATTTTGCACGACTACACAAGTAAAGTACTCGACGCGAGAAATGCCATTAGTAAAGGGCTAGCGAGAGCGAAGTATGTACCCAGCCTCAATGGAACAGCACACAATGGCGTATGCATCACAAACCTGCATTTTATTATGAAAATCAATGCTCAAAAAACTACGGTTTCAAAAAGCCCCTTCACCACAATCACTCAGTGTCCTTCGAAGCATCCCCAGAAATCAATCGTCACGTGTTGCCAAATCAATGCTACCCCACTGTCTACTGTATTTCGATTTTAACATTTTGTAACTGCTGATTGCTCCTGGTCAGTAGGTAAGGGGTCGAGCACACGAAAATGGCAAATTCCATCCTGATACACTCGACGTTCAATGGGACTGTAGTTGAGTGAGTAGAATGCAAACACTTGTTGCCATTTTTAAACTTGAAACGCAATTGTGTGTCCTTTTCAGTCATTCAAATTGCATTCATATGACTAACGTGAAAGGAAGCTATTCGATGAACATGTTAGTAATAACGAACCATGTAGAAAATAATATGGCCGCGAACATCTCAGCATCTGTTCAGGCTGATAGATGGACAATGCAGGTTGTGGTGAATTGGCATGAATAATTATCCTTCGAACTTTGTTTTTATAACCCTTTAATGTGACCTTTGGTTAGAACTGCTGAATCATTCGTGAATGCATGTGTTAAACAATTTGGTGTAGAATCAAATTGATTTAAGGCATGCCAATTCGTTGTGAGAATGGATAATTTCCGTGTTGGATATGTTGCTAGTCGGATTGATTCACGCTCATTAATCCGGCCGCTTCACACTCCGCCGCAATACCTCCCTTTCACAGGATGCCGTCAGCTATGGGGAACCTCAACTCACAACGGATTATCGCGGATGTTCATCCTGGGGTATAACTACGTGCAATAACAAACCTCCCTATATTAGCATATCAATGACTCACGCTGATTTGCACAACTGACCAATAAATATACACAAGCACACACACACACAAGAGCCACACGACACAACGACATCAACTTGGTTGAGCTATTTAGTAAACGGTTGTGACTCCGTCAACTCCGGACTGCTTCAACATCACAGGTATCAACGATGCATTCAACGAATGTAGCCGTGGGTTGGATGGCCCAAAACTTATTTGATTTCCTTGTACCTACCCTTTTATTATTCAACTGAAATTGAAAGGCAAACCTCAAGATTGCAGATAAATATGCCTGCGTAGTCACTCAAAAACACATCAAGAGCAGAAGGTTGTTGTGCAATAACGTTAAAAGACAAAACTCGTGATTAAAGGCACATGTGCGCTCTCATTCGGAATCGCCAACTGTATATAAAATCATAAAATTTTGTGGAAAAGTGCATCTCACGACAACACGGGAACAGTTGTGCTGTCATTGGACGAGACTTTGGAGATAAATATCTCACGCTTATTCTTCACCAGGTACGAAGTCACGACAATTTCTGGCACGAAGTGAACCGCAACTGGAGCCCTACAAACTTGCTAACATTTTAGCATTGCACACACGACAGTCGTGTGATTGGTTGAGTAAAAAGGCACTGTAGTGCTTTGTGCACCCCTCAAGTACTCAGTTGCCGTGGCACAAACACCCCATCATTCACGACCCTCTCATTGTGTCTTTTACCGCACGTACTCCACGACTCACCTTGTCAATTACTCACACCTGGTTCTGCCCGTGATAGCTCTCCTGGCTTACGAAGTGTCATCCACTACTACGGATACTCAGTTTTGGTAAGTCAATTATGACTAGTGATGTGGTGGTTGGGTGTGCCAGCATAATATCCAGAGATTTAGTGGTTGGATGTGGCTACATAATACCCTGTTTCCATACTAGTAGCAGGTGAAATTCGCTTGACAAATGCTGGAGGATACGGAGCAGCCTCAGCCTTGTGCGTCACGACACCAACAA